CCTAACAATAGGAAAATGCTAAATAAAAATACATATACAGCCATCATACGTTTTTTAAAATACATTCATTATTCGTTTTTTTAAATAGATTTTGCCTTTTTTTTTTTTTTTTGCTATCCATTTGTTTCAGTAGACAAGGTTGAAGTTTAGATATAACACTGTCCGCTTGGGGGCGATGAGTGCCACATGAAGTTATGGAGTTGCTCCAACGAAGAAAATTCTTCACAAATGCCTGCACATAGATGTCAGTACATAGAAACCGTATTTGAGGTTTTGAACAATTACGGTTATAGATCTGGATGTGTTTTTCTATGTGGCAGTATATGACAGCTGTCTTCCAACATGTAAGGAAATGTTTGGTACCTAGTTGGATTAATATCTTTTAGTTAATCTATATTGTCATTATTTAGCCATCAGCGTGTAACTTTCAGGCGGCCAATAGATTTTAGTATATTTCATTTAGTACATTGTAAGGTAATGTAGGATAAACAGATTAACATATACTGTTAATAAACAAAGTGTCCAAGATAGCTGAATCTGAACTTTATATATACCATTCATAACAATCGATCAGTATTTGTTTTACTAGTAAGTCTGAGTTTTCTCATTGTTTTCTGTTCCAGCGGAGATTATGAAGGAGCCAAGCTGGTCGTCGTTTGGATTCTGGAGTTTGTTTATTTTTTGTAGCCTGTTTGTTATTGCAAATGCTAATATCCACGAGGACGACGATGCTTGGATCGATCCATATGACATGCTCAACTACGACCCAACGACAAAGCGCATGAGAAAACCCTCAGAGGTAACGTTAAAATGCGTTTATTAAACCATATGTCAGTTTACTGATGTATTACAGTGCACGCGGAACATTTAAATCCCTCTTCTGTTTCTTAACATGTTTTCAGTGGAAACAGACTGCACTCAAACTTAGCAGTTGTAAATCTACGTATTTTGAGGTTTTACGAACTTTTTGAAAGGGATAGTCCTCCAAAAGTGAAAGTTCAGCCACTACTTCTTTCATTTTCAGACCCAAAAGTCCTTATCGAGCTCGTGCAAACCTAAACTGAAATTTCTTTTAATTATTTTCGCTATGAGAGGTTCATGAACAACTCATTTAAACGTCCAGTTTAAAGGGCGATCACAGTAGAGAAATGTTGCTTGCAAAAAGTTATGTTTTCTATTGTTAATAGTATAGCCATATATGGAGAACAGCTCACGAAGAAGTCAGGTTCTGTTGGTCAGCGCAACGAAATTTCCTGACCAACCTGAAGCCGTTGCGAAATCTGCTTGTGGAAGTCTTTAGTCCTCGCGCGATAACGTTACCCCAAATCACCAGAATTCCTTTTGAAATTGCTGGATTTATCTCGCGAAAATTTGTAGAACAGCAGTAAATATAACTGAACCTTAACTCAGTTAAACAATTTCTTTCGGACAGTTCAATTTACCTTTAGTAGGGTGACCATACGTGCCTTTTTCCCAGGACGCATCCTGGCCAGGATTTCTATATTGCTTTGATTCAAAGTACCTCGACAGCGTTTCGAAAACACAAGGAACCGATGTCATACACCGATCGGTCTGCACACGCAAACAAAGCCAAACCCTAGATATTTTAGGCAATATAGAAATCCTGGCCAGGACACGTCCTGGGAAAATGGCACGTATGGTCACCCTACCTTTAGCCAAGTCAACAACTCTCTGCCTCACTGAACACAGTATACTTGACATGTCAACAAAGTGTGATTCGTCTTTTATCACATAAGGCCTTGCAAGCACTGTCGTTTTTGCAGGAAACAAAAATCCTGCATCATATTATAACTTCTTTGTTTTACAGTCTGCCAGTTACCCAAATGTGCCAACCAAGAGAAGGGAATTCAGCTCCGAATCCTGTGAAGTGCAACAGTGTCCTGATGTGTCTGAGTGCACCAGTAAACTAGAGATTTTGCGAAAAGAGGTGGAAAAATATGGAAATATACCTTTGTTTAGTAGGTTTCAAAAACAAAATGGTACTGCCGTGTTTTTTGGACATGGTACAGTGGAATTACCCTGGTATTTGTGAAGAACTGAAGACTAGTATTGTACCATTCAGCACTTTGAATAACTGAAAATATATTTTCATTATTATTTCTTGTGCTATCTCTTTTTTTAGTTTGATGAACAGAAAAAGAAGGGGACCACCACCTCTATAAACCCAGTATGGCAGGAAACAAAAATCCTGCATCATATTATAACTTCTTTGTTTTACAGTCTGCCAGTTACCCAAATGTGCCAACCAAGAGAAGGGAATTCAGCTCCGAATCCTGTGAAGTGCAACAGTGTCCTGATGTGTCTGAGTGCACCAGTAAACTAGAGATTTTGCGAAAAGAGGTGGAAAAATATGGAAATATACCTTTGTTTAGTAGGTTTCAAAAACAAAATGGTACTGCCATGTTTTTTTGGACATGGTACAGTGGAATTACCCTGGTATTTGTGAAGAACTGAAAACTAGTATTGTACCATTCAGCACTTTGAATAACTGAAAATATATTTTCATTATTATTTCTTGTGCTATCTCTTTTTTTAGTTTGATGAACAGAAAAAGAAGGGGACCACCACCTCTATAAACCCAGTATGTCTTCCAGTATTCAAGCGTTTTCTTACCAAACTCCTTAAAGAAACTTCAAAACACGGCCTGGTATGTGACTCTGTTTTCTCCAGGGAATTCAATTGACATTAATCTACATTGGTGATATTCAAGCGTTTTCTTACCAAACTCCTTAAAGAAACTTCAAAACTCGGCCTGGTATGTGACTCTGTTTTCTCCAGGGAATTCAATTGACATTAATCTACATTGGTGAAGGTTTTACATCTTTTATCATTTTAAAAATCTTTAGCCTGATGATGGACAGACATCCATGCGTTATGACGCTGAGGTGAAGCTCTCCAAGCAGTCGCTGGCGGAGATCAAGAAGCTTTTGAATGAAGAGAACGACTGGACCACTGGAGCCATGGACGAGGCTCTCAGTCAAATTCTGGTCAGATTCAAACTCCACGACCACGAAGCCTGGAAGTGGCGTTTCGAAGACACGTTTCATGTAGATGCTGATACCGCCCTGAAGGTCAGTTCTTGTAAAAGCATCCAAAGATAAATTATGAAATAACTGTATTTAAATTATATTCAAAAGATTGGTCTTTTACAGCAATCTCAGAAATAATACAAAAAATGAATGTGTACTGTATATTTTTCTACAGGTTTCTTTGATTGTTCTGATTGTTGTAGCCATAATCAGCACTGAGCTCTGGTCTGTGGTCTCCTGGCTTGTCCAGTTCTGGAGAATGTTTGTTGTTTGCTTTTTTATTAGCTTGATCTGGAACTGGTTCCATCTTTATATGGTAATTATTCTTGTGCTGTTGACTGTCTATGACGTGTTTTTTAAAGCAGTACTGAACACATGACTATGAAGAGTTGAAAGGTGTGTTCACTGTATTGTACAATGAAGAGTTAACTTGGTTTAAATATTTCTTCTCGACTAGGTTGCCTTTGCAGAACACAAGAAGAACATTGTGGAGGTGGAGAGCTTCAATGGCAAATGCACTGGGCTAAAACAACTGGACTGGAAGGACAGTTTATCAGGTGAGGACTGGAGGTGCTTAATGTAATAAGAATTTGTTAAAAACTTGAATAATTGAATTATTTATTCACCTAAATGTCATTCCAAACCTGTGTGATGTGAAACTTAAATTTCGAATATCGAAGAATCTTCACAGATCTTTTTACGCTCCAAAAGTATGATAGCAGTAAGATTCTTCAAATGACGTGAAGGTTTGTCAATAATGATTTTGAGATGAACTGTTGTTCCTCCTTGTTTATTTAGAGTGGTACAGACGCACATGGACTCTTCAAGATGATCCTTGCAAAAAATACTACGAGGTCCTGGTGGTGAACCCTATTTTGCTTGTGCCTCCAACAAAGGTTTGTATCTTTTCGTTTCTAACAAGAGAAACTTGATAAGAGACTTGAAGTCGACTGATCATTTTGTGGTTGGTAGTGAAAATGTTCAGTGTAAAACAATCTGAACCTAATTGAAAGATAAATTAAAGGCCATCTAGATAAAAAAAAACAAAAAAAAAACACAGACGTCCACCCTGGACTAAATAGCAACACTTCAAATAATATGTATGCAAATGAACACCAATAGTGCATGTAATTCTTAGTAGATATCTGATATTTTAAAAGCTGTTATCAGAACTGTAACCATAAATGAAACGCATAGTTGAAGATGAAATCCATTCATATTTTCTTGGGGGTTTTATTCCAGGCTATCACAGTCACCATAACCAGTTTCATCACGGATCCTTTGAAGCAAATTGGGCAGGGAATCAGCGAGTTCCTCAGAGCCCTGCTGAAGGATCTTCCAGTCACTCTTCAGTTACCTGTGCTGCTTATCATTGCACTCGCCATCTTTGTAAGAGCTGTGAACAGCAAACATATTGTAGGATCATTTATTTGTTATCATACGAAGTCATCTTTGCTCTTCTCAGGTGTTCATGTATGGAAGTGCTCAAGCAGCTATACATCAAGCAGTTCGCTTGCCCCGACTCGGTTGGCGACGGGATCAGCCACCTCCTGCGGTAGGACAACGCCAAGCTCCTCAACTAAGGGAGCATGAGGAAGCTTGGGATAGAGGTGATGCTCCACAGCTGCTACAGGACAATAGAAACAGAGTAAATCAAGCAGGAAACCAAGGTGACCAGGGCGTCAGGGCAGCAGATGCTCATGCCCCACAAAACAGACAGGAGGACAGAAGCATGGAACTCCAACAGGAATTTTCCGGCGTTCCCAGAGGGACTCAGAGGGTAGAGACTGTGCGCGCTGCAGGTAGCATGTCCAGCGATGATGAGACTGATTTTCAGCAGCGGACAGAGGAGGTGGATCCTGGTACAAAGGAAAATGCAGAGCCTGAAGTGAAAGCTGAGGAAAAGGAGAAAAATGCATCTACTGAGGACAAAAATGAACAGAAAGACACACCGAGTTCAGACAGAAGCGAGTCTGTAACCAATGTGCCTTCTGCTCAAACAGAAGTGAAAACACTTGGAGCTAATCAAGGGAATGAGGTAAGTATTATTTTTTTAAATCCCTCATTTAGATAACTGCCCAAATAAAAAAATTTAAAAAAAAATATATATATAAACAGCTACAGGTATACTACCATTCAGAAATTTGAAGCCATTTTTATCTTTTTGAAAGAAGTCTCTTATGCTCATCGAGGCTGCATTTAATTGATTAAAAATACAGTAAAAAAAAGAGTAATATTGTGAAATATTAATACAATTTAAAAGAACTGTCTATTTGAAAATATATTTTGTAAAATGTAATTTATTCCTGTGATGCATGTAAATGTGTTCCTTTAATTCAAACATTGCAGCACTTTATGTGCACTAAAAGGAGATCGGCTGCTCAAAATGTCCTGAAGCTGCAGGTTACGTTTTGCAAGCTCAACACTGTATGTCTGTCATTACAGCTACAATTATATGATAGCTGATTTTATATTAAAAGGTCTGTGGTTCTGTTGCATCTTTAAGTTTTATTTGTGTATGTTGTCAATAGTGCATGTACATTTGCAGTATACATTACATTGTGCTTGTAATGTATATCCCATCAAACCCGAAGCAATTTCATTGAATATTGCATATCAAATACATAATATGCCATCTCTCACTACTAAACACATTGCTCATACCCTCTACTACTGTGTATGTATGTAATGTGTTTGTTTATCCTGCATCATTTTGACCAGAAATCTGTTTTGTTTCTGCAGGGAGTATCAGCAGATCTTGCTGTCGAAGAAGGTTATTCAAGCTTTAAAACTCCAGTTCAAGAAACACAGCATGAAAATGGTCTCTGAACACTTTTTGTATCAACATAGTTGTTTTTGTGTCATTCACTTTTAATTAAATGCTGGAAAACTGATTTTCTTTTTTCTTTTTTTTCTGAAATTTAAATATATTTTTGCTACTTTTTCTTTATGCATTTAGTCAAATTTTTAAGTAAATCTCCTGAAGTATTATTCAGATGTTATATAGAGTCAATGAAACGTGCAGGATTTTTGCTTACATTTAGCTGTCTCTTAATTGTATCATTATTTTTGGACATTATACTGACACCTACTGGCCAGGATGTATGAAGTTTGTTTACTAGCTGCTGCTTCACACAAAAGCAGTTTATTTGTTTGTTTTCTCCATCTTATCCATCAGAAACATTCATAATAAACATTCTTGGGTTAAATCTTTTTTTTTTTTGTCCGTGTTGTAGGGTGTTTGAGCTGTTACGACTTGTTGAGCTTTTTTCATCACCCCTCAGCATAGAATTTACATTTTGGCAGTTTTTCTAGTTATACATTTTGGATCAGTTTGATGATGTTGACTCGGGCTCAATTATTGTGTCAATAATGTTTTGTTATGTTGTTTGATTTGCTTGTTTTGTTTACATTTATTTTTATGATTATGCTTTGTAAAGTGAGCTCTGTCTGAAAGCACTGTATAAATTAAATATAATAATAATTATTGTTATTATTAACGCAGTCAATTTGCTTGACACAGCTGGCGATCATGTGATCTCAACATGGCGGCAACCCATAAGAGGGCGACCCATTTTATGTAGAATAAAAATCTGTAGTCTTCTTTGGCAGTGAGTGTCACATTTCTTAAAAGTGCTTTTAATTTCTTTGTGTAAAACTTTACACATTTAACATGACTCCAGATGTAATGCTCCAGCTTGGAAGCATTGCTAAAAAGGACATTTTTAACCTACCTTGTCTACTTCACTCAATAAAAAGACACGTGCTGTATTAAAAATAGCATGTGCTCTGTTTTTGTTTTTTATTGAGACTGACGTTTCACAAGTCAGTGAGCAACTGAAAGAACGTTTTATTTAAAGGGATACTCCACCCCAAAATGAAAATTGTGTCATACATCACTTACCCCCATGTCGTTCCAAACCCGTAAAAGCTTCGTTCATCTTCGGAACACAATTTAAGATATTTTGGATGAAAACCGGGAGGCTTGTGACTGTCCCATTAACTGCCAAGTAAATTACACTGTCAAGGTCCAGAAAAGTATGAAAGACATCGTCAGAATAGTCCATCTGCCATCAGTGGTTCAATCTGAATTTTATGAAGCGACGAGTATACTTTTGTACGTGAAGAAAACAAAAATAACGACTTTATTCAACAATTTGTCTCTTCTGTGTCTCTCTGCATCACCGTAGCGCCATTTTGGAGAATAACCACTGAACGCAAGCAGC